AGGTTGTACATTGACTTGAACCTGTTTTTGATCGTGTGGTAAAGACACTGAACTCAACTTATCCTATATAGATGAATAGTTCGATGATAATCTCTGCTCTTATACTTACCCATACAGACATTTTCGTAGTTTTGAATTTGAATAGAACAGATTGTTTTCTTTAATACAGTATTTCTACGCACTCCTCTCATACAAATTAAATGTCAAGCAATGACATTTATACAAAGGATAGAAGTTCTCTCTATTTCTTTTGTTTCTTTTTGCAACTCATCTTAGCTGTTTACAAAAAAATACCGACGAAAAGAAAAGGTAATGAAGAACTGTATCGAAAATGTTTTTCTTTATATGGAACACAAAATTACAGATGGATTTTTTAATGTTTGTGTTTTTTTAAAACAATCCATCGGGTGTGGGTATGGGTGTGGGGATGTGGATGGAGTGTGAATCTGGATGTGGGTGTGTGAGTATGAGTGTGGGTGTGAATGTAGGTGTGGCTGTGGCTGTCGGTGGGTCTGGATGTGCGTGGTGTGGGTAGGTATGAGTGGATTGTGTGAGGGTCGGCGTGGGTGTGTGCAGGGGTATGGATGTCGGGTGTGGGTATGTGGGTGGGTGGGGATGCGCGGTGGTGTCGGTGTGGGTGGGTGTGAAGGGGGGGCGTGGGGAGGGGTGGGTGGGTGTGGAGTATGAGTGTGGAGTGGGTCGGGTGTTGGCATTCTCTTAAACTACACCCATACGCACACCCACACCCACACCCACACCCACACCCACACCCACACACCCACACCCACACCCTCAAGCTGGCAAGGACGTTGTTTTTAGAAACTTTCATGCGTTTGAGTAGACGGTGTAGCTTTCTTTCTTTCTTCAGGCAGTTATTTAGCTAAGCATGCAGGCTCACAAGTATAGACTGCAGATTTCAATCAATTTTCAGCATGAAAATAGCAAAATACTTATCTGATTGATGTCAAATCGAAAAATTTTAAGGATTGCACTACCATGAGTAGAAATCAACTGTACAATCATTATTTCAAATCAAATGACAATCAGATCTCATCTCCTAAGTAAAATTGAAAATGAAATAAATGAGATTAATGGCCGTAAAATCAGTCTACAATGGTCTGAGACAAACTGGATTTCGTTGTAGGGACACATTGGAATATTAGGCTCATCCGAAATACTAAAATTTTTCGCATTTTTCTGTGGGGATGATGCCAAAGATTTATTGAAATTTGTCGAGTTTGTTCGAATTTTTCTCTCCCAACATGTATCTCACAACGAGCACATCCGTGTGAAAGTGATTTTTTGATAAACTTAGGTGTTTTTCGCTAATTTGCACTGGGATTTCAACAAAACGGTGAAGAACTAGTTGATATTTTTTCTAATTCACTTCGGTTTTAGTGCAAAAGACGGCCGTACACAGTTGAAGGACGATCAAAAGAACATTTCTGCCCAAAAGACATAAAGAATAAATGAATTTTTCGGAAGAGCCAAAATAATTCTAGGGTTGGTTGTGCCCACCAGAGCCCGTCTGGTTTTACGGCATTAATATGTTTGATATTTGATTGAGCTAATCCACGTATTAATGAACGTAATTTATTAACACAAATCCAATCAATATGTTCTAAATTAGTACTTAATAAATTGAAATTCGTTTTCATATAACATTCATTTGATTGACTATCAGTATACGATTTTAGAACATTTAATATATCATCTGTTAGTTGATATTCATTGATGGTAGATGGATAAAGTTGTTTAAAATATGAACTATACGGATTTTTTTTAAATAATTTACAATTAAGTATATTGTTCGTGTAATTATAATAAAAATAATGTGTTTGAAGCAGAGATGTCCATCGCGGCTGAAAATCTGCCGCTGCCGCGCCGCGGCCTTAGAAAAAAAAATCTGCCGCTGCCGCGCCGCGGCCTTAGAAAAAAACAGCTGCCGCGCCGCGACGGTTTATAAAAAAATGTTGTCGCGACGCTGCCGCACCGCAATGACTTATAAAAGAAACGCTGTCGCGCCGCTGCCGCGATGAATTATAAAATAAACGTGCCGCCACCGCACCGCTGCCACGACGGCTTTCAAAAAAGTGTTTCTAATTTCACTGCTGTGACTATATTTGACCAGAGATATGGGTACTAGTCCATCAGATTTATTCAATATCAGGGCGTTTTATTTGTAAATCCTGAAATTCTATTAAATTCATACAGTTTTTCAATGTCCTCCAAAAAAAATCCTGCCGCTGCCGCGATGGTTTTTTAAAAACCCTGCCGCTACCGCGCCGCTGCCGCGGTGATTTTTTAAAAAACCTGCCGCTGCCGCGCCGCCACCGCCATCTCGGCAACGGCAGCGCCGCGATGGACATCTCTGGTTTGAAGATCTATTGTTGAGAAAGCAAGCTCTCTTGGTAAATAAATATTAGTTTGAGTATTGAAAACATATTCCATTTTGTGTGTCATATATCGACAAAAGCAGAAAAATAAAGAGAATAAAAATTCAAAATGTAATTGCATCAAAATTTTGAAAGAAAAGAAAAAAGACAAGGTGAGTATTACTCATAATCCATCATCCAGCAAAGTTAATAGATGAATAATTTCTTTAAATTAAGTCATTATAACAATATCCACGTTCCACAAAACTGGCAATTCGAAGAAATTCAAGCAGCAGACTATTCTGCAAGAAGAAAACAGTAGACTTCGCCAAACTTCAAGAGATTTTAGAAGATTTATCGGATCTCAACAGACTTCAAGGCTAAAGTCTCTACTGTTTTCCCTTGTTCTATAGTATTGAATTCAAGGTAAATAAAGAAAATTCAAGAAGAAAGCAAGATGATGAAGGTAAAGACGAAAAGTATTTGATCATATCTCAACGCATACAGATTTGAAGGATAATCATCCAACTATATAGATGACCATCTTCTTCAATTACTTGATTTTCTTGAATTTTATGCTGATTGACCAGTGCATATACTACTAGAAAATAGTTAAAGTCTATAGTTGAAATATATCGTCATTATAAAAACATATTTCTTGCTAAAACATAATTATACACTCTGAAAGTTTTTGAAGTATTCTATGAACCTGTATATTTATGGCTTAATCTGCGACTACTTACTGAAAAACAAATCCAGCACAATAAATGTATTCTAGCGTAGACAGGATGAGACTCAATATAAATATCACATCAACAGTGCCGGTTCAGCATAAATATAAGACATTATATGGAATGTTAGATGTTGCAAAATTAACTTCATAGTTTTCGTATATTACTCCAAAGTTTCAGTTGATCACGAGAAATTAATAGCATAAGTAGTTTATATTAGTGTTCTACTTTACTTAATATAAAAGTGAACTCTTAAAAGTGAATTTTACTACAGTATATTAATGAATTTCGATTTCGACATTGATCGCTATGCTTCATATATCATCAGATCGCGTACTACATTTACATTGTTTCTATCCTTTATTATGTTGTATATTGTGACTTTCTATTGATATAATATTACATGCAACGAAAAAAGAAAATAAAGCAAAAATGAAAGAAAAGTCACAGCATAGAGAATAAATTCTAGAAAAATATTTTTCTTGTTTTATCGTATCTATAGCAACGCGCAAACGAGAGAAGCGAACGAGTTTATCCATCAATCGCTTCTACATACATATATATATATATATATATATATACTTGCTCATACTTTTGCTTGTGTATAGGATAAGTACAAAAAAATATTCATCTTCGCATAACGACAATCATTTCTAATCAATTTCTATTTCTGACAATACAACAAATTGTAAGCAAAGTTATTTTTCTAGTAAATTAGTAAGACATTATTTTATTGTTCTTGAGTAACTTTAGTAGTAAATCTTCGTTTTCAAAAATTTCTGATAAAAAAATTCACTAAGATGTATACATTTAAATCAAACATTGATCTTTTTGATATGATTTTTATAATTATACAAAAATTTTCTTCTTCCTTATATCACACAAAATAGTAAAATTTATTGCACATGACTTTATATTTTTTCAATTCATGTCCATTAGGAAACGATCTAAAATTATATATCTTCTTTTCCAATGTGTGATAATATACAACAAGAGTGCTATTTCATCTAATCTCTTTTTAACACAATTAGCTAAAAATTTTGCAAATATTCTAGAATATGTACTGTTCGAGTTATTCCTTTGCATATCTTAAAATATACATGATTTTGGAGATTTAGTATAGAGTATGAAACGGATGATGACAACAGATATTAACTAGTAACTGTTGCTGATCGATCCAATATGAACCGGTGAGTAAAAGTAACGTAAACCAGTATAAGGCGCTGATAGTGAACCAATGATTGACGGGCAAGGTTATATGCCATTTTCTTTAAAATTCCATTGTCAAACTCGATGAGAATTTTCTCTTAAGAAAAGGAAGAACGAACAATGAGATTTTACATATTAGTCATATAAATAATCAAAATAAATATATTATAAAAATGTCAAAATATTAAAATGTGATCGATTTGATTAATTTTTCAACGATAGCTTCTCGAAACATATCATTATTTTTTAATAAAACTTAATATTAAAAACTCGACAGAAATAAATATAGTAATGGAAGATTGCAGATAAAACAATACCTTAAAGAAGTATATTTAGTTTTTCATAGTAACATGTATAAGAAATAACTCATTTGCTTTCCTAGTTGATACCAATTTTGAAGAAATAAAAAGTACAATTTTCTTTCTCTATCTTTTGTTTTCTTGCTATTTGTATTGACATTGAATAAAAATGGTAAAAATGTTTATACATTAACAGGTAGATTCATCTTGAGAATTTTATTTCCGTTCTCGAAAAAAGAAACTTTAAAAACAATTCTTTTTATAACTCAAGTAATAAATTAATCTTTTGTTTTCTTCTTTCTAGCCATCAAGTTAAACATTTTTCGTTATCATAATATGTTGATAAAGTATCGAAGTGGCGTATTACATTCAGCAACGAACGTTAGATGTATGAGAAACGTTGGTAAGATTGTTGGTCGACCGTTAGTGCATACAAGACATTCTTTTGCATTCAAACGACCGATCTCCAGATGGGCACCAACTATTCATGTCAACCAATCAACGCAACCAATCAATGTAACTGGTAAGATTGACATTTCCAAATAAATCTGCTATTATTCTTTTTTTCTTCGAGTTTTTTTTTGATACAATCAGTCCTTTGATTTTTTTTATTGAAAAATTAATCTTATATTTGAAAGCGAATTAAAATTTGCAAATCGAATAATCAATGTTCGGGTTCATTTTCTAGTTTTGGATTTCCTCTGTGTCGGAGAACTATATGAGCATTTTTCAATAATTTTTTTTTTGATATTTTTAATGACGAGAGAAAAGATTAAAAAAAAAACATTCATTATGATGTACGTAAATTGTTACTGATGAGTTTTTAAAATATAGTTGCAGATTTATTTATATTCTTTCATAGATATTCAAAATTCCAATTATTAAAGTTTTCCTAAGCAAAAACGAATTTTTATTGTATTCTATTTAGAAAAAGTAAATCTATGTTATTCGAAATCCGTCGAAATTTATTTCTATCAATATTTTCTCTCCTTTATTTTATCATTCATTGGTCATTTCTTTTGTTTCGTATATATCATGTCTTATCATGTTAAATACAAATCTTATTCTTTTACACATATTCGTTTAGCTGAACTTCAATTATTGATGACTAATGGTTGTTATAATCTTACCAATTTGCCTTGTTCTCTTCAAACACATATAAATGTTTATTTTTTACACAATAAACTTTTACTAGTCTATTATTCACTAATAGTTATTGGCATGATATATATATGGCATCGTACTGTTCGCTTTTTGCATTGTACTCTTGTTATACTTGCCATCATCATTATTCTTTTTGGCACTAATATTATTCTATATTATGAGAACATAACTTATATTGGCTGTATGATATGCGGTACACTAGTCGCCGCATATGCACCGCTGCAAAGTTTAATGCCTTACAATGTCGACGATCCGTTACGTGTATTTTGTGAGCGAATGGCATTACCCTATGTTCTCAATGAATCTCTTGTTGATGGTCATTCAAAACGTGCCCGCTTTTATCGCTGGGCAAAGAAAATAAAAAAACAATGGAATATCAAAGAAGAAAAATTAATTATAACTCTTATTATAGGTGTATTTTCAATCATTTTTTCCATTATTCTTGGTAGTTATATTTAACCTTATTTCTTTGATAAATGCTGCTTGTAACTTGTATAGATTTCTTCAAAAAACTTAGCTCGAAAAATAGAAAATCAGCGATATTTTAACAAATTTGGTGCAATAAATAGTTTGTATTGAAAGATTATGTATATATGAATAAATAAGTTCATTCATCCACATCTATTTATCAATGATCATCAGGAACTATGTCATTTGTTTTGTATATCATGCTATTGTTGGATTTTACACAACTCAATAATCGAATCTCAGTATTGTTAGAAACAATGGATATTACAAATGCATACAAAATCTACTGTTCTACAAACTTCAACTGACTAGTGATATATTTTGAATGTTTGCATCATTCTTTTTCTTTGCTTTATTAAAATAGAGAGACTCGTATTCTAGCTTTCTAATATGAAATGAATTTGACTGTTGACTGATAGTGAGTGTGAAATGAAATTCTTTCGAACTCTAACTATTGTTAATCAAATTGTAACAATCAAAGACGATGATCATTGCTTTTGCATTCTATCATAGGCAACATAACATCATCAGATGTACTATTATTACATATCATTTGTTCTTTGCCGAGACGTAACTTGCTCTCTTCGGAGTCCATGATTTCATGAGCTACTTTTTGTTGTGTAGTAAACAATTAATAAAAGTCGTCAACAATTTGGTCACATCATGATCACCATGCTTATCCAACTTCAGAATATATATTGCCAAAACTGAAACAAAAGTTGTTAAATGATAAATCTGTACAAAAAAATAAAAAAGATAAAAATATTTGTTTTACTGATCATGCAGAACATATTATCCGTCATTTTTTCTATTATAAAATACTTTTCATAATAACTCATATATATTTAAATTATTTATTACAGTAAAATAGATAATTGATTCCGTAATTATTTGCTTGTTTCTAATGAAAACCAAAGAAGCTTTTCTCATTCAAAAAAATGATTATTTGACATAGTTGACAATATATGCAATTATAAAATTTCATATTAGATACATTTAGTAATATATCTAAGATGAATTTATAATAGTTTTCATATGAAGATTACATTCGATAAAAAATTATGAGCTAAACTATTATTGATACCTCGAGTTATAAATTCATTTTGCCTCTTGAAATGTGTTTTAATTTATTATGTCGTTGAACGTTTACTAATCACATGTTTCTTATCATCCTAATAGATATTTTTTTAAAGAAAAGCTTCGATTTTAATCTCATTTGAAATAAGTTTCGCTTCTGGAGGATTGACTTTTAAGGTATCTTAGCAGTACTTTTTAAAAACGTAATAGAAAAAATAAATCTCAACATAAAACTTCAACACGTACTGAAATTCAACCAATTGATAATGCACGAACAACAACTGAAATTCAACCAAGTGATACTGCACGAACAACAACTGGAATTCAACCAAGTGATACTGCACGAACAACAACTGATATTGCACGAACAACTACTGAAATTCAACCAGTTGCTAATCCAACAAGATTTAGAAAAGATCTAATCTACAGAAAGATGATGAAATATTATTAAAATATTTCTGATTTCACAAATAGAATACAAAATTTTACCAACAATGATTCGTATAAAATAATAATGACATTAGTTGGATTTGGCATACTTCTTTGGCTTAGTGCGTGTATTATTCCATCTTATTTGGATGCATATGGTTATGCTATGGTTTACAAAATATAAAAAAGATTTATTAGATCATTTAAAAGAATATGATATGCCAAATTTCTTCAATAATACTCATGTTTTTTATGTTTTAAAACAAGAAATCGTTTACGACAGGTACAGAAAACTTATTGATTTTTTTACAAAAGAAATTAATGATATAGATATTAATTATAAAGCAATAGACAATTTCTTGTTAGATTGTCTAACTATGAACATATTTTCCACATCTTTAATGCCTTTTTTGAATATTCCATGGTGGTGCAATGCTATAAGTTTAACTTGTCAAATAATAACGAGAATCATTAAATACGAGCCTACATTTTTTTTCTTTAATTGTACCTTTATAATTAATTATTGTGTTCCTTGTATTTTCTTAACAGTTCATGTTGCTAATTTGTTCTTTCTTTCTCATAGTGTTGATGATTAAAAAATAAATAAATTATAACTATTAATTTATATTTTTGTCTATTCTATATCAATTATGTCGTTTTGTAATGAGGTGTTTAATATTGTAATCGAAGTCGTTGTTTATAAGAATATTATTATACAATTCATTGGCCACCATAATATCATATTTAATTAGATTATACGTATATGCGATAAAAATTTCAGATCTTTACATCAAACAAAAGTATGAAAAAAATGATTAACAGTTTAAAGGGAAGGTGTTCATTGCATACCCTTTACATGTGTGGAGTTTTCCAAAAAAATGATCTCGATCTTGAGGGTGTGGGGTGTGGGTGTGGGTGGGTATGGGTGTGGGTGTGGGTGTGGGTGGGTATGGGTGTGGGTGTGAGTGTGGGTGTGGGTGTGGGTGTGAGTGTGGGTGTGGGTGTGGGTGTGAGTGTGGGTGTGGGTGGGTGTGGGTGTGTGTGGGTGTGTGTGGGTGTGGGTGTGATTCTTTTATTTTAGTGCACTCACACCCCACACCCACACCCACACCCTAGAGGGTTGCTCTAAGTTCTGACATCCTTAGTTTGACGGAGAAAAGCGGATTCTAGAGTCCTAAGAGATTTTAGAATATATTTCTAGAAGTGTACCAAAAGCGGTCACAGATTACCGCCATTGGCTATAACTCAACACAATCCATTACAATTTATCAGAGATAACTAGAATGCAATAGAAATCATCATGTATTACAATAATATCAAACCGATCAAGGAAGCGTAAATCTTGATGGAACCAAAAAATACGCAGAATCCATGATGATAT